ATGTAAAAAAATTGACAACTAAAAGACACAAATGCAAAAACATAATTTATTTTTTAAACAATGAGTTATCAATTTTTTAATGGTGGTCAGAATCATGCTATTAAATTTTCATCGACACACTGACATTTTCATATTACGGCAAAAAAAAAATCAACAAAATATCACTAATGTATAAGTGCACTACTTATCCATTAATCTAAATGTTTTTTACAAGTTTTTTTTTTCATAATTTTTCAAGAAATATCAGCCAATATCTCCGACATTTTTTGTAAAATTGAGACGTAGATATTTGCATCGACGCTGATATTTAAGATCTTTGCAAACTATTTTTAACTTGTGCACGTTGAAGATAAGAGTGGGACATGGAGCGATACTCAATTATTTAGTGGATTGGATTGGATGGCATGCAAAAACGATAAAACCCACTGTGGATCTCTCAGCTTTTAGTCGCACAAGTCCACTGATACTCATTGGAAAACGATAAAACAACACAGCTGGCCTAATCTAATAATTCATTTGGACCAGAAAGGATGATACAAAAATAATTGGCATATATCTCGAATCAAGAAATAGGATCAATTTTTACAACTTTGGACGTATATTAATTTTTATTTGAGATCTGGTTTAAATATTATTTTCATATTTGTAGTCGTTTCAATTGATGTACTTCCAAAGGTAGATTAGGTTTTTAATTTTTGTTCATTTTAGTCCATGTAATTTTAAAATGTCTATGTTGATCTTTATGCTTTAAAAAGTAATCATAAAATGTAATTATTTGTAAAATTTTAACATAAATTTAGAGAAAATTGAAAATGAAGAGATTAAAATAGTTGTTTTTGTTAAAGTACAGGACCAAAATAAATATTTTGACCGTAGAGGACCTAAGATAAACAGAATTTGAAAGTATAAATATCAAAATAAAAGCTAAATGAACCAAACCGAAAGCATGGGACAAAAAACATATTTAAACCTCGAAAGTTTTAAATTCATAAAAAAAATTTGAACAGAAGTAATCGATCTTTGCAAAATTTACCCACTAATTTATAGAAAAAGAAAGATTAAGAATCTTCCAAAACTGATTGATTTCAATGAAAATCAACTTTGCATAAAATTAAGGTTATATCAACTCACAAAATGGAACAAAAAACCAACTCAATTATCTTATTTCTCTTAAGTCTGATCAATTTTGCACCAAACTTCATCATTAAACACAAGTAATAATATTTTTTTTAACGATTCCCTTTCAAAAATATATATTTATTTTTTTAAATGATTATTCAAATGATTATGTGATCCAAACAGTGAAAATTTTGAAGAAAATATTTTTATGAATATTTTCAGAATTTGAATTTGAAACTTTAAAATGAAGAATTAAATTTTAAAAAATAATAAAAACTTTGATAAATATATTATTTCATGTTATAAACTCATTTCATTTCGGTTAAAGTTCAAACATATAAAATATAATATATTATACATTATACAACATTGTAAAATAATAATTATACAAAATTTATAAAAAATATTAATAGATTAATTAGTATTATTTTAGATTAAACTAAATATTTAATTAATAACTACGGCTTACTAAATGTACTGATAATCCCACGTTGAACAATTTCCTAAAATTGAAATTCAATTTTTAAATCGAGTATCAAACACATAGTTATATGTTAAGGTGGTCAAAATATGAAGTTTGGAACATTAATTTAGGCAGAAGTCTTTCCATTTAATTGGTGGGCAGAGATTTTCGTAGATAAGTGCTCGATAATTATATTGTTTCAAAGAAAAAAAAAAAGAAAAGAAAAAGATGCTAAAAAATTATTGCTCCAATTTTGGACCGCATATTTTGGAGAGATCAATCAAATGAATAACAAATCATCATTGCCAATAAAATTTTGGATATATATATATATATATATATTACAATGAACCCAAATGAACTCTTTATCATAATAAATAAATAAAATTAAAAAGTAAAACCATTAATTTCTTTAAAAAAAAATATCAATTTGTACCTTCAACTTTATTATAAACTTTCAATTTCATCAAATTGCACTTTAAACTTGTACAGGTGTTGCAATATTTTATTTACCTTTTTAGAATCCATATAAATGAATTAAATTTACCCAATCCATCAGCTTAAGTTTTTGGGTGTAGTGGTGGTTTATTCATTCTTAAGATGGAAGCTGATGTCAATTACCACTTAGCTAAGTTCATGTTGGTAATTGCAACATTTATTTAAGTTTAAGGTACAATTTAATGAAATTGAAAATTTACCACCAATTAATTTCAATGTAGAAAATTGATATTTTCCTTATAAAGAATTACTTTTATGGAAATTCATTTGAGAAATTTTGCCCAATAATTAATTTTTTGTCAATATGTTATATATGTATAAACCCAATAGAAAAGACAAACATCTAAAAAACCAATGGTTTTTCTTTTTATATATGATAAAGAGTTCACGTTTGGGTTAATTGTAAAAATTAAAGTGAATCAAAATATCCCAAAATTTTTATTTTATTTTCTTTAGTTTCTTATTTCTTTTTGGCAAACAAAGTGTCCAAGTATATTCCACTTTCAATAATTGAATCTCAACTATTGACTATTGATAGTAACAAGATAATTAACATAGCCAAGAGACATATTATTATTCATAGTAAACTTAGTGTGAAGAATTAGTTATCTCACCCCCTTTATTATTGCATGCCATATAAACCATGTATGATATTATTTTACAAAATATTTGCTTACTAATTCTATTTAAAATTCTTATCAAATTATTAATAAAAAAAATTAAAGGCTTAACTGTACTTTTTATTTTTTTGTTTTCTATTTAAAAAATTAAAGGCTTATTTGTGAATTTTCTATTCACAAAATTCTTGTGGTCTGTAAAATCATACCCAAAAATAAGTTTTTTTTAGAACTTTGATGGTTTTGTATATTTAGTCAGCCCCTCCTGACACA